GATAACAGAAATATCTGCATGTTATCAGGACAACCATATCTTACCAACACAAGCTCTTAATTCTTCACTCTCTTATTTCTTCCCAAATACAAAAAAAAAAAAAAAAAAAACTGAAGCCCTGCCCAATGCCTGGAAATTTCTGTTCCATAAATCACAAAAAGTACCACAAATTTGGACTGCACATGCACATTGAATACTATTCAGCCATAGAAATTGTCCTACTTCCCATCTTATTTGCATACATCTGTGGGAACTTTACTAAGGACTTCCTTTACAGAAGGATCTACTTAATGAGATCCTTTAACATCTAAGAGTGCCCATTTTTGACTATGTGTTTATAAAAATGTAGCCAAAATCTCTCTGACTTATTCAAATAGTTTAAAAAATTATGGAGTTTGGTGTAGAACATAACAACTGCCATGCAGATTCAAACTCCAAATATAAGAAAAAACAAAGATATTGAACACCTGACTATATCTTGTGCACCATTTTCCAAGAAAGACCCCAGATGAAGCCTTGAAGAAGGTTTCACAGAAAAGGAAAAGAGTGATTTAAAGGTCTTTCATTTAATCTCAAACAAATTCCTGCTGTCTTTTGCAACTTAAGAAACCACTGACAAAAATTCAAAGGGAAAGAATTTGCACCTTTGAGTTACTTGTCTTTGGGAAACGTTCATATTTGTGAGACTTAAAAATCATTTCATGGATAATGGAAGGTAGAAATTATTCTGTTGGGAAGGATTAGCATTTTTAAGCCTCTTTCTACCCTAATTTTCACCCTAATGATTTTTACCACCAGCCTGAAAAAATGTGAATTGTTCACTTTGCGTAGTTCACAGCTTTTCTACCTGAGTAAAGACTAGTACACAAAGCCTTTTCTTCTACATCAGACGACATCTGCCCCCACTCTTGCTAAAAAAAATCTCCCAAAACTAAATAAAAAAACACTAAGGAAAAAAAAAAAACCCTCTAACTCTAACCGAACAGCAAACCCCCCCCCCCAAAGATTACATCACTTAGTTTGCAATCAGATCTGAAACTGTATTTCAATGCAACCGCACTGAAGTTATAAAATAACCTAACACAGCCAATACATTTTATAAAGCAACATAATAACACGTTTCTATGCAGTTCCAACAGCATACTTTTTTTCTCAAAATGACACACATCACCCTGGGTATGAATTTAAAATTTTTCAGGTTGCTTCTAGAATTCCGTTCACTCTTCTGCAATGGAATGCAGGAGGCTACCATGTATAAAGGCATGGATTTCTATGGCAACAGTTTAAATTCTAGCTATTCTTAGTTGAAGTGCTTGCAGAAACAAAAACAAACCACAAACAACCCTTTTTAACTAGCTAAATAATAAATCTCTTTCTTTTCTGCCTTTTCTGAAACAGCAGAAATGCCTTTGCTGTGATGTTTAAGCGATGAGTAACTTAATGGTATATATAGTGTACTTGAAGTTACAAGATTCATAAGTTAGCAGGGAAAAAATGCCCATTTTGACACAGCATGGATATCTTATAGGCTTCCAGTGTTAGAAATAATATCATGACAGTCATTATCAGCAAACAAAATATTTATGTTTTGGTTATTGCTGTTAAAGCAGTACAACTGAACATTAGAACTTCACTCCTCTTCAAAACATTCTCAATAATCTCTTTGCTTTCTCTTATGTTTCTTTTTTGTTGAGGTTTGTTTTTTTGTTTTTTTGTTTTTTTTTTTTTTATAAAAATAACCATGGAAGTGTTAAAAACATAACTAAGATAAGCATTGTAATTCAAGGCCTGGTAATTATTACATCATCTCAGAGAGTTGGGTGATCTATGTTTCTTAAGGGCAAGTGTCTGCAAGATGGAAGAAAGAATCCTGTGAATGTTAAAATCAGAAAATTACATAGAAAATTCTATTTTGTCATTTACCCACAACCTAGAAACAGAGTGATAAATACATGTCTCCAACATTTCAATTTAATTGACATTTCTATATAGGTATGCCAATAAACTAGCCCTTTTAGGAAGCTAAATTAACAAATTTCCAACTTTCTGCTACTTCTCAATGATGACAAATTAAAATTGCATATTTAGCATTTTATTCTCTGAAATGCATGCATGTCTGATCTCAGTCAGTGATTTGACATTTTAATTTATTGTGCATTTTATCTTAACTTCCATTACAGTGCTTCTGATGTAATTATTATTCTTTTTTAGCAGGGGATGTGTTCTCAATTTTCTCAGTTACTCAATTTTGTCACTACAATATCACAAAGAAGGCAGCAAGACTCAGGTAGTCTTCTAAGGGTGCACTATCTCATACCTAAACAGGTCATTTTGGTTATTTCTAAGCTAAATTTGATGGCCTCCCAAGGACGGAATTACTGGCTCACATGCAAGTGCTTTTGTTTTTTCATCTCAAACTATTCAACAGTGGATTGCACAATGGCAAGGTAGTGCCTCTACTGTCATCACTTTGTCTTACACAGAGCGTCCTGGCAGAACAATCTGTCTAATGAAGCAGCAAGGTGGAATAAAGAAGGGACCTTGAAATAAGAATGGTTTGTATAGTTAAGCAGGCCATGCCATTTTCAGAGCTCCACAACCAAACTTCAAGGTATTTTCTAGGAGACTGCAGATTTTTCTACAGTGATAAAAGATTCTGGAGGAATTATGTATTCCCCGTGTTTAATTCTTCATGAATACCTGGAATCAGGCAACTGCCTCACTTTCAGGCACATACCTATGGCAATGTGTATGTTTGTCCGTTTTCTCCTCACAGATCCCAAAGGTGGGCATTTTCTATAAAGCAAACCAAATCAGCATTTGAAGTTTAGCAAGTCCCTTACAGTGTTTTACTCTTTAAAGGGATTCTCTGCCTGGAGAAAGCCAGGAGCAACGTGACTGAAATTCTCCATATCTCCACTGGGACTTGAGCTGTGAGTTACAAGTGATCTGCAGAGACTTTTGCCTTTACAGGTTTGACTGAGTTTAGGGGCACTTTCCAGTACAGGAAGGGGATCAAAGGCGAGCTGCCTGAAGTCCAACTGCAGCACTGCGCCTTGGTTTTTTTAGCTTTTAATATCAAAGGGTGGAGGTACCCAGTGCAAGAACGGGAAAATCTGTGCCGGCTAATTCATTTTTCCCACTGGCTACAGCTGCTGGAGCCCGGCCGCCCGCAGCTGTCCCCACCGGGCAAGCTCCTCCCGGACGGGAATTCTGGCCGCTGAAATTAGGCTCCAGCTTAATGAGACCAAGCTGAGCAGAGGCACTTAAAGCAAATTCCCACTAACATCCCTAATATATCTGCAGTGTGTGCAGCAGAGGCGGTGACAGCAGCGGCAGCAGCATGAGATTCACAGTATTAATAAAGGGATTCACCGCCTCGTTAGGAAAAAAAAAAAAAAAAAAAAAAAAAAAAAAGGAGGCAAGGGGAGGGAGAGGGGAGGAGGGAGGCAGGAAACTTCTGTGTGTTATTTACATTGGGAAAGGGGGGAAGGAAGGCTGTTTGTGCCTCTGCCTGTGAATGAATGAGAAAGAGGAAGGGAGGGAAAGAAAGGGAGGGAGGGAGAGAGGGAGAGACACACACACAGAGCACTGAAAGGAGGCTCTGTCCCCTAAACCCAAGTAACCCGTTTGCAAGAATTGGATGCTGGAAAAATGGTAAGGACCCGGAGTTGAAAACATTTTCACTTTAATACTGAAAAAATATGCCATTATAAAATCCTCGAATAGAATTAGTAAGTTTCACTTGCTTCCTCAGTTCCGTTTTCCTCAAGTTATAGTAAGATTTACAACAGCACAGAATTTTCTACCATTAAACTTTGCAGCCTAAGCGCTAGAGTGACATTAATTGGTCATGCTTAACTGCCTTGGAATTTTTTTTTGTATGTTTACACTGTTACCATAATAGAAATCAAGGGTACTAATTTTTACATTCAGATGGAAAGGCAATATTGATTATGTATATTTAAAAAGAAGAGAGAGAAAACAAAACCAAAGCCTACCCTCCCCACCTCCCCTGAAAAAAATGAAACACAACCCGTTATCAACAAAGCAAATCTCTCCCAGCAAAGTAATTCCCACCTAGACATAAAAATAAAAATTTTTAAAAATCCAATGAGAATATTCATGCAACTATGTCTTAAATAAAATCTTTACAATTTGTTTCCACAGTAAAAGTACGATCTCTACTGCCTATTGATCACACAAAAAAAAAAAAAAAAAACTGGCAAAATGGCACTTTTTATTATTATACTGTATTTCGTATATAGAAGGTTTGATACGAAGGGACTTATCAGGTAAGAGGGATGATGGTGTGAACTAGACGCTGCTTCCAGTCGGGGGCTGGAGCGTCCCTGGGGTGCGTTGTATCCATGCGAGCCATGCAGCACTTTTTTTTTTTTTTTTTTTTTTTTTTTTTTTTTTTTTTTTTTTTTTTGGGGGGGGGGTTTTTTCCCGTGGGGCCCTGCGGGCTTTTTTTTTTTTTTTTTTTTTTTTTGTCCATTTGTCTGTTTGTTTCGGAGTCGGAGTCATTTATTTACATTACATTCATGCCTTCGTGCAACTTTCCACTCCTGCCTTGCCGTCAGGAGGAGGCCAACACCAGTCCTCTGCTCCCCTAATTTTCCCGGCCTTTTGGAAAGGGGTCGGCCCACAAGGGAAGAGGGCAAAAAAGCAAATCAAACCTCAACACAATTGAACAAAAGCCCAACAAAACCAGGAGCCGTGTTTCGCCCTGCCGGAGCCGAAGGAAGCTGTCCCTCCTCTGTCTGCCGCTGCCCCGGCCGCGCACGGGCGGGGGATGCGCGCACCGCGCCGGGCTGCGCAGCTCTGCAGGGATGCGCTCCGGCGCCGGGCTCCCCCCGCCGCCCACTGGGCCTCGGCGCTTGCTATGGGGGTCGTGAGTAAGGGCGTGCGTGTGTCTGTGTGTTTCGCTTCTCACAAAAGGTGGCAGCGGAGGTGCAGAGCTGTCCCCGGCCGGCGCGTGAAGGGCCCGTTCCGGGGGGCGGCCGTCCCCGCCGCGCCCGCAGCCTCAGTCCGACAGGGAGTGGGAGCCGCAGTCGTACACCCTGTGGGCCCCGTCGGCGCTGTAGGGCCCGTTGTGCCAGTAGGACGAGTCGCAGACCGTCTGCAAGGAGTTGATTTCAGATGCAGAGGAGTTGGCGTCCCTCCTCTTGGACCGCTTTCTGTTCCTCAGGATGAAAACCAGCATGCCAACCACTGTGAAGGCAGAGGTCACAAAAACCAGCAGAAGCCCTGGCACTAGCACCGAAATAGAGACCCGGCTGGTCTCCAAGTAGGAGTTGGAGTGAGTACCTGTCTCTGTCAACCCGGTGCTGTTTTTGTTAGTAGAAGTTAATGTGGGAGAGATTTTTAACTGAGGGCAAATCACATCGTTGGAGAGAGACTCAAAATCCTCCTTGAAGAAATCTTCAGGGGACTCACACCTCAGGTCACTCATAATCACCTTGGGGCGCAGCATCTCTGCCCACTGTTTGAAAGGCACAATAGGGCAAGTACAGTCCCATGGGTTGCCATGCAGGTCGATCTGGGTGATGGAGGTGAGCTGGTCCAGCACCCCCGCCACCGGGAGGTACATGAAATAATTGTTGTGTATGCTCAGCTTGGAAAGTGAGACCCCGGCGAACACGTCTACTGGGAGAGACCTCAGCAGATTGTTGTTGAGGATGAGGACTCTCAGTTTGGGCATCGCATTGAAGGTGCCAGGCATGATCATCTGGATCCCATTAAACTCCACGTTCAGATACTCCAGGTTTTGCAGCCCAGCAAATTTCTCCCGGGAGAGGGTGTCTAAGTAATTGCTATCCATGTAGAGCCATCGGAGATCAAAGAGGTTCTTGAAGGTGTTGTTCTCAACAGTGGCAATATTGTTGTTGCCCAGATCGAGTAAATTAAGTTTTCGGTAATCCAGAAAGTGGAATTTCCTGATGGTGTGTATTTTGTTGTCTCTCAGAAACAGCTCCTGCACGTTGGAGGGCTTGGGCTTCAAATCCACCAAGCTGCTCACATTCCTATCATTGCAATTAACCTTTAAACCTGAGCCAGGGATCTGATCACAGCTGCAGATGTGCGGGCAGGAAAAGGTAGCTGGTAGTTTGCTCTTTGCACTCACTGTCGACACGGCAGCAGTGGGTTTGGTCTTGATTTGCCAGTTGACAGGAATCTTTGTACCTCCGTTTGGAGCAGATCCTGGCGTGGCAGGGTCTTCTTTGCCATGTATTTTAAAGGGGGTTGGAATGGGACCAGGATCGCAGGTTTCTTCTTCGGCAGGGGGAGCAGCTAGGCTGGAATCTACTCTGTTCTTTTTACACAGCTCCTGCTCTGTGGTCTCATTTAAATCTTTACCCTGCAACCTAGTGGGAGCTTCACAAATCACTCTGCCGATCAAAGCGTTTTTAGGTATGTTTTCCAGCCATTCTTTCAACGACAGCAGATCGCAAGTGCAGTCCCAGGGGTTATCCTCTAGCAGGATTTCAGCAATGCCTGGGATCTGCTCCAGGACCTCCTCGTAAGGCAAGGTTTTAAGACGGTTTCCCCGGAGGTCGAGGTGGGTGATCGGCACATACTGAAACACGTTGGGGGGCAAGGTGCTGATGAGATTGTCATTTAAAATCAGCACCTCTAGCTTGTTTAAGTCCCTAAATGCTCCCGGGTCAATATCCCGCAACAGATTAAAATCTGCCTGGAGGTATTCCAGATCGTCCAGCCCCAGGAAAGTCTGCTTCCTGAACGATTTGATCTTGTTGTTGTTTATGTGCAAGCGTTTCACCAGCTGCAGCCCAAGGAAAGCCCCAGGAACAATCTCATGCAAACCGTTGTTTTCCATGTGCAAACTGACCGCATTGTAAAAGTTAGCAAACTCATTAGGGAAAAGTCGAGTCAGGGAATTGCCATGCAGGAATAAATGGTAAAATTGGGAAGTTGGGGCGGTGAAATGTTGCAGGCTGGTAAATCCCTTTTTCTCACAGTCTACGTGCAAATCCCCTTCTATCTCGTTGCAGGCACAGATCTTCTCTTTGCAAACGTCCCCTGTAACGTTTCCAGCAGCAAAACAAAGAGACGTCTCCAGCAACAGAATCCAAAGCAGCATTTTTAAACCGAGCAATTCATTCCCGATCTCATCACAAAGTAACAGCAACCATCCTCCTCACACGGAAAGCAATTCCAGTTCATTCAATACATTAAATGTCCGAACCAGCAGCAAAGGGGGAGGAAAAAAAAATGTGTGGGGGGGAGCAGGGAGGGTCGGCGGAGGGGGGGGGATGCTTTCTTTTCTCCTCTCTCCCCCCCACGCACAACTGCAACAGCCCAGATTCCAGTCAGTAATTATATCCACAAACTATCCAGGCACGTACTGCAAGGCAGGCGAAAAAAAAAAAAAAAAAAAAAAAAAAAGTAGAAGGAAAAAAAAAAATCCCCCTCCTCGCTCGCCCTCCCTGTCGCCTGCCGGGCAGCTAAGCGGAGGTCTGCCGGCCGGGCTGGCTCATCGGCACGGTGCTGCTGGCCCCCGGCCGCCGCTGCATGTTAGGGAGGCGCGGGCGGGAGCGCGGCGCTGGCCGCGGAGGCTGCGCGGTGCGCGGCTCCGCGCTGACTGACCTTGCCGCGCGGCCCGTCCGCCCGCGCCGCGCCTCGCCTAGCCCTGCCGGCAGCGCTGCCTCCCCTCCTCGCTCCCTCGCTCGCTCCCTCGCTTCGTTCTTCTTTCCTTTTTCTTCCGCTGCTGCCGAGCCGCACGCTCGCACACACTCACATGCACGCAGAGGGAGAGTTGCTAAGAGGCTCTGCTCGTTTCAACCTGGTGCACACTGAAAGATCTGACACCCTCTGCTGAGCTGCAGTGGCAAAAATCCATCTGCTGAGGGAATGCTGGAGAGGGAAAAAAAAAAATCAATCCACGTACAGGGCAAGCGTTAAAAACGCTGGCATTAAAAGCTGTAGATCTATTTAGATGCGTTCTCCTAAATGGATTATTTAATTTATTTATTTTCTTTTAAAATGGAAAGTTTAGCATTCCCCTCCTCCCGACCGGTTCCTTATTGCCCCCATTCGCACACACTCACACCTGCAGAAGAAGGAGAGAAAAGCTCGTTTGCCTTATTGTATTTCCCAATGACTTGAACAGAATTAGTGTCAGGGTGTCAAGCGAATAGCAATTTGAGGTAATTATTCTGCACGCCATTTTTATCGTTGCTTTAAATGCGTTTCTTCCTCCCCTGCAGTCTAGAGTTTTATGCTGGATTTTGTCTCTTGCTGGTGTTCTCTATGCAATGTCGAACCGTGGATTAATGCACTCTCTATTTTTCATAATTTAGATGATCACAGAGAAGAGGGTAGGTAGGGGGGAGGGGATTGCTGCACTGTTAGCAGTTCACGCTACCTGTTCCCACGGAGTGTAGTGTCTCCCTTAAGGAGGGCAGGGGAGGGTAGAAACTGACGGTTATTCTTATCACTATAAAGATCAGGAGATGAGTGTATGTCCACGCATAGATATTTCTCTAGGGATGCTCCTTATATACTCTCTGTGGAAATAAAACCCCTTCTTCTCTCGACACTTTCCTTCTCACCACTTCCATTCCACCCCCCCACCCCTCCGTCCGCCCCCCCCCAGCTCCCACCCTTCTGACAAAAGAGATTACACAGCGGAAAAATCAGTGCCTGGCCTTAAAGACAGGAGCCAAGCACGCAAAACTTTCTGCATCTTTTGGACGGATTCCAGATGCCTACGAGCGAAGAACCAGTTGCACCTCTGGTGGTGCAAGAGGAAACCCGCGTTTCCCCCGCCTTGCTCTGAGAAGGAGGAGGGGGAGAAAGAGGAGGAAGAAGAGGAGGAGGAGGGGGAGGGGGAGAAGGACGGGAGGAGGAGGAGGAGGAGGACGGGGAGGAGGCGCGAAGGCGGGAGAAACAGCCCAGCCCCCTGGTGCCTCCTGCAGCCCGGGGCTGTGCCTCTCGAGTCCGGCGCCGCTGGTGAACTTTGCGGCATACTGGTAGGGATGTAACCGCGGGAGTGGGCTGGAGGAGGGTTATTTATAGGAAAATTCAGAGAGCCATATGGAGCCTGCACCCCCTGGTCCCGGCGGCATGTTAATTTGGTCAAAGCTTCTCCCTGGCTACCGCTTGCAAATAAATTAGACATCGTGCCGATGATGATCTTATCAAATTAATGTGATTAGACCACAGACAAGTTACAACAGTTACCGTGGCCATTTCAAGTCCCCAGGATGAATATTTGGTCTTTTGGTTTGTTCTGGTGGGCAGCAAATAGGGAGGGAGGGAGGGGGAAATGAGGTAGGAAATGGGACAGGAGTAGGAAACAAAACAGACAGAAAGAAATCCTGACCCTGAAAAAGCTTATCCAGTAATTTACAAATGGGCTAGAAGAGATAAGATGCCACTGAGACAGAAAGCACCACAAGAAATATATTGTTGGTTTCACTTGGAAAAGAAAAAGAGAAAAGGAAACTTGGCTCCACATTGGGGCACATTAATTCATTTCTCCTCGTGGTTTCTTTGCCTTTGTCTCTCAGTGATGTCAGGGTGGAAGGGTGGGGGTGCAAGGCTGTCTGGAAACCTTCTATTGATCAAAAATTGCAGCTTGAAAGTGCAAGGGAACTGGAGGCAAGGATGTCCAAGAACAATCCACAGAGAAGCAGGACAGTCAGAGGAAGGGACAGTCAGAGGAAGGGAAAAGGATCAGGGTGGGGGTCAAGGACACATTTACTTGGTGTCAGCAGCAGTGACAAGATCACTGTGAACAAAGTCTTCGCAGAGGAAAGACTGAATATCTGGAGCCTGGTGAAGACTTACTGGGATGTGGGGCAGGAGGACTTGCTCTCCTCCTGCCTTAGAATAAAACTTCCAAGCATCTTTACCTTTATGTTATTAAAATTGCTTAGGCACCGTAAAAACAATCAAAATGAAACCAGAGGACCTGAACATGAGGAAGATATTAAATAAATAAGTATGAATTGAATGAATGGAAGGAGACAATGACCTGTTGTCAAAGCATGAAGGACAGATTACCTGCTTCTTATGAGGTTCTGCTGAGATGTGGGAGCTGGTGGAAGCCATCTGGGGACTTGGAATTTCAAAGTGGTTAAAACCCAAAAAGTAAAAAAATGTTCCAGAAGAAATAGGAGTGTTTATGGATGCTATGTATCTTCCAAAGGAGTATTTATCTAAGAAAGCCATTGTATTTTCAACTGTATACTTTGCAGATTGATGTCTTACATTTAAAATATATGTATTTAGAAAGCATCTGCTATGAAAAGTTAACACATAGGAGACAATTCAGAGTGAAAGAAAAAAGGCATTATCTATTTTAGATTTGATATCTGGAGGTTTTTTATTCTATGAGGCAAACTACACAGAAAGACCCAGAAAATTAATCTGTCATTACTCAGTGTCATAATCCCAAATTTCTATTTTTTTCATCTTGTTGAATTAAGTTTGGAAACATGTATCTGAGGATGAGAGACCTGCCTTTAAGAGTTTTAAGGAAATATCTATTAATGGGTCAGGTTGGTTGGGAGCTGAAATGTTTTACTCTGTTACTTAGAGAGTGTAGTAAAGTGAGAGACCATACAGCGTTGAAGTGTCAGTTAGTCTGGGTCTTTAAAATTCAGTATATGCATCCCAGTTTACAACCCATACACAGGCTGTATAAACAGAACTCACATAATCCTCTCTAAATTATCCAGAAGATCAGATAAGGGAAAGAGCATACAAGTATATTGTCCTTGACTGTTATCTTTTACCTCATGTTTCTGTCTGCAAATTCTAGAAGCCTAAAACAATGAATTGACTACTTATACCTTTCCTCTGGGTGTAAAGTCCATATTTAACCACATACTAGCCAAATTAAGCCATTTTGAATAGAAATGGGTTTACTTATAATATGGAAATTTACTTGAAATAGGAAAAGGTAGTGGGATACTTCTTCATTTTCCCAGTTAGCAATCTCTCATCTCCCTGTTGCTATGGCTATGTAAGTAACACTGGGTAAGGGTATATTTGTGCTACTTTGCAACATGTTAAAAAGCTAGTTACTTCATCTAACACTGTGGAACTTGCAGAGCAGAACTCAGCCACCTGCAAAGGTTCTAGAGAAGAAAGCAGTTATTATGGTAGATATCCTGATATCAATGTTTGTGTTATGTACTGTAAAACTGGCTTCATTATTTCTATGGAGGTATAAGGACATCCTACAATGTAGACATGATGTTGTGTGTGGATACACACACACACAATATATATACATATGCATGTAAACATTTGTGCAGTACAAATAATGATAGACCAGCAAATAAAAGAGTTATAGGATCATTACTTAATTTGAAATTATGTTTCTGTTCAGGCTTTGACAGTGGAATTTAACTCAGGCTTGTAGTTAACATAGATGCCGCCATATGCTGCAGCTCCTGAGGAAATTATGCTTCTCAGTGTATACAATGACTTTAAACAGGCTCAGATAAACAAGTTCTAACTAAGGGTAGAAGGGTTTAAACTAATATCAGGATCTCCTCACAGAATTTTTTATCTCAGTATATTTCACAGGCCATTCTTCAGACATAGCTACTGGATTTCTACCTAAACTGCAATGAGACCTAATGAGGTTTCCAAAACTAGATAATTTTCTCCTTCATTTTTCATTTTTCTAAGAGTAATGGCATGTGAGTGTGTTCCAAGTCTCCCTGTGGTATGTTCACCAGACGGAGCTTTGCAAAATGATGCAGTGGCGTATGATGATGACTAAAAAAAAAAAAAAAAAAGAAAAGAAAGTTAGAGAAGTGGTTTGCCTACTTCTATCTAGTGAGTAGGAGACTGGCTCATGATGAGAAAATAAAAAATTCTGTATCTTCTGCAGTGTAAGAGCCAGCCCACATGTTTTTCTTTCTTGGCTCATACCCTCAAACACCGGGCTACCAACCCTCTTGCTGCAGCTGTTCTACTTTACAGGAAAAATAATTTTGAGATCACTTGAACCATGGAAAGGCAGTGAGGGAGCATGAGTTACAGCACTTGCCAGGGTGTGCACAGCTCTGGGAGGACTTGCTTGCTTTGTGCTTTCATGTGAGACTGAGCTTGACAGAATATACTTCACATATCAGATGTTTAGATTATGGAGCTGGTAGCAAAACCCATCAACATTCTTCTCCAGTATACATTGTCATCAGACCTTGAGGTAATTTTGTGCTGGAAATAGTGGCTGAATAGGTCACAGGGTTAATCTTAAAAGGTTAAAACCTTAGGTGTCAGAAAAGGAAATAGGAGTCAGAAAGATGGACAGATTTTGCATCCATCTTGTGTGTAGTCTGCCATAAAACCTGTGTAGTCATTTCATTTTGAAATCCCGATGATGCGGAAGAAAGAGGTGTATT